ATTTGAATAGTTTGCTCAAGCTATGCTGAAATATGGGTTCAAGCGAAGTCAACCTGATCACACCTTGTTTGTGAAGCACTCCTCATATGGTAAGACCACAGCTCTTATTGTCTATGTTGATGATATTGTTCTGACAGGAGATGATGGTGAGGAGATTCCTCGTTTGAAAGAATACTTATTCAAAGAGTTTGAAATCAAAGACTTAGGCTATTTGAAGTATTTTTTGGGCATTAAAGTAGCTTGGTCTAAGGATGGCATCTTTATATGCCAAATGAAGTATGTACTTGACTTGCTAAAGGAAACTGGAATGCTTGGAGGTAGACCATGTGATACACCTCTAGAACCGGGCTAGTTACTGAGTGAGGATCAAGAGGGAGATCTAGTGAATAGGGGGAGATACCAGAGACTAGTGGGCAAGCTCATATACTTATCCCACTCTCGCCCAGATATTGCCATTGCTATTGCTGTGAGCATGGTGAGCCAGTTTATGCATGCTCCTAGAACTTCCCACTTAGAGGCAGTTATGAGAATCCTGAGATACCTGAAGTCTTCTCCTGGAAAAGGGTCTCTATTTCTCAAAACATGGTCATCTCAGCGTGAAGGCATTTACTGATGCAGATTGGGCTGGACCAGTCACTAACAGACGATCAACTTTCGGATACTACACATTTGTTGGTGGCAACTTAGTCACATGGCGAAGTAAGAAACAGAATGTGGTGGTTAGATCTAGTGCTGAGGCAGAATTCATTGCTATGACTCAGGGTGTATGTGAGTTACTATGGATTAAACTATTATTGGGAGACTTGGGAATCCATCAGACTGACTCCATGTGATTATACTGTGACAATAAGGCCGCAACCAACATAGCTCATAATCCAGTTCAACATGATAGAACTAAGCATGTGGAGATTGATAGGCACTTCATCAAGGAAAAACTCACGAGTGGCATCATATGTATTCCATTTGTGAAGATTGGAGACCAACTAGCTGATGTTCTCGCCAAGGGGCTAGGGAGCAAACCATTTCATGGCATTCTCAACAAGCTGGGCATGAGACATATCTTCACACTAGCTTGAGAGGGAGTGTTAGAATAGGAAACAAGTTAGAATAAAAAATAAGTGGTTGTATGTTCTTCTTATTTATTCCCTTGATTGGTATAATGGGCTGGCCCATATATTATGTCTTATGGCACTCTTGTAATTACTCAGTATTATTAATATAAAAATGAATGAAGTCTAACTCATTCCCTAACTCTTTCTCTTATCTAAACCTACAAGTACGTCTCCACTGTTCCTCTTGAGCTTGTTCTATCTTCTCTACCTTCCACCCCTCCTGTTGAGTACCTCTCCACTGACCCCCCTGAGGCTATTTCTACTTCTCCTCCTGCTTCACCATTGGCTAGTTCTCCTCTTCCTCCTCCTCCTCCTCCGTTGTTAGTCTATTCTCGTCGTAAGGCTCATCCTCCACTAGTTGTCTTTGTTCCGGTTGCTGTCTCTTCTGCTTCTGAAGACTCTAATCTTGCTGCACACCGATATCCTACTCGAGACTGTCATCCTCCAAACAGGTTGGGTTGGTCTAATATATGTTTTTCTGCTTCTTATTGCACTTTTTTTGTCTGCTATTCATTTTTTTTTAGAACCTTAGTCTTACAAGGAGGCCTGTTAGGATCCCAATTGGGTTTGAGCTATGGAGGATGAGTTGTTTGCTTTGTAGAAAACTAGTACTTGGGAGTTGGTTCCTTTGCCTGTTGGTAAGAATCGGGTTGGTTGCAAATGAATCTACAAAATCATGACTCATTCTGATGGTTCTCTTGAGTGCTACAAGGCTCTCCTGGTTGCCAAGGGTTTTTCACAGGAGTATGGTATTGATTATGAGGAGACCTTTGCCCCTGTTGCTAAGATGACTACTATCTGTACTTTGATATCTATCGCTGCTATTCGCCATTGGCCTCTTTATCAGATGGATGCTAAGAATGCTTTTCTTAATGGTCATCTCGCTGAGGAGGTTTATATGCATCTTCCCTCTGGCCTTCACCATTCCTATAGACAGGTTTGTCATCTTCGGCGTGCTCTATATGGTCTCTTTGTGCTTGGTATGATCGCTTTCAGACCGCTGTTATTGAGTTTGGATTTTATCCTTTTGCTTCCGACTTTGCTTTGTTTCATCATTGGCTTTGACTTTTTTGTTATTTCTGGGGTCAAGCAGCATCTCTTCCGCATCTTCGAAATGAAGGATTTGGGTCCGTTGTGTTATTTTCTTGGTATTGAGGTTGTTTCTTCTCTAAAGGGCTATTTTTTTATCTCAGGCTAAGTATGCTAATGAGGTCATTTACCGTGCTGGTCTTACTGATACTAAGGTTTCTGATACACCTATTGAGCTTAATATGAAGCTTAACTCTACTAATGGTGTCCCTTTGGATGATGCCACTTTATATCATGAGCTTGTAGGTTGTTTAGTTTATCTGACTGTCACTCGCCCTGATCTTGCTTATGCGGTCCATATGGTTAGTCAGTTCGTTTCTGCTCCTCGCTCTACCCATTGGGCTGCTTTGGTTCGCATTTTTCGCTATCTCAGGGGTATCATCTTTCAGGGCTTACTGTTGTTCCACTTCCTCTTTGGACTTGGTGGCCTATGTTGATTCTGATTGGGCTGGTGATGGTATTGATCGCAAGTTTACGTCTTGTTTCAGTATGTTTCTTGGTGATTCCTTAATCTCTTGGAAAAGCAAGAAACAATCCGTTGTTGCTCACTCTACTACTGAAGCTGAGTATTGTGCTACGGGTCATGCCACTGCTGAGATTATTTGGCTTCGTTGTCTCCTGTTTGATTTGGGTGTCCCTCAGTCTTCTCCGACCTCTCTATTGTGACAACCGCAGTGCTATTTAGATTGCCCACAATACTGTCTTCTATGGACGGACAAAACACATTGAGATTAATTGTCACTTTGTTCGACAACATCTGTAGTTTGGCTCTATCTCGCTTCCTTTTGTCTCTTCGGCTTTGCAACTTGCGGACTTCTTCACCAAGACTCACACTGCTGCTCGGTTTCAGTTTCTTCTTAGCAAACTCTCAGTGTTTTTTGCTAAAACACCTTGAGTTTGAGCTGAGGTGTGAGAATATATTGTGTATTGTGTATATTCTATATTTGGCATGATTGTGATTGTACATATTGTCATTATCAGCTTCGTTTAACAGTAATCGGTGATTAACGGTAATCAATCGGTCATAAATCAGTAAACAGTACGAGGGTTGTTACAATATTATAGGCATGATTGTGTATAGGCGTGATTGTGTTTTCCTTTCTTGGTTTTGGAGTTAGAGCTATATAATCTAGGGTTTTGTTGTAATCATATATACAATTGAATATATAGATTATTCATTCAGAATTTTTGCAGTATATTCACCTTAAAGTTGATACTAAAAGAAAATTCCTTTTAGGACAATCTTAGAGGTTTAGTTCTCCTAAAACTTAAAATCCAAAATTTTAGGCACCCGTGATTTTCCATTTGTATTATGCATCTACTAAGACTTTGTTTGGATCATGGATTTGGGTTGGGATTTGGAAACCTAAATCCATGATCTAAACACAACCCAAGAGATGGACTTCCGTCATATGAGCTTAAAGTAAAAAATTCATATTTGTGGTTTTCCATTTGGTTGGCTTATCAAGAAGGTGCTAATGTATGAATGGATTTGATATCTCAGTTGAGTTTGTGACACATTATTATTGTTATTATTATTGCAAATCATTCTAGATAGTCTTCTACCATCTTTGAGTTTGAAAGTGAAATGCTTTCGCGTATCCTTTTAGGTTTCATAGTGGTAGCCTAAGAGACCTGGACACGAGTACGGACATGGGACATGGAATTTTTTAAAAATTAAGATACGAACGTGGGGATACGAATTATTTATTCATTTTATATATTTTTTTATTTGCTATGTATATGAATATTAAGTTAAGGTACAAAGATATGAGAAGCATTGATTTCCATATATTTACTTTGACTCCAAATCAGTTTTCTAAGAGACTTGTCTAGACATAGGATGTGTGTTCATGAAGTGTTCCCAACATGTCTTGCAAAAAATAATAATTAATAATTTGACAAGCCATATGATGTGTCCGATACATAGGCATGCCACGTGTGTAAGGGTAAGGGTTCTGTATGAGAAATGCATCCAACATGTATAGTTGAACATGCACCAAACAAGAATGTCTAAATGGTTTGAGTTTACTATATCACTATGCATTAGACCTTCATTTCATTCATAACAATTTTTGGTTGCAAATACCATTCTATACTAAAAAAATACAAAACAAACAAATGTTTGAGAAATATGGAATCTGGTTACGTTGTGGTGTCCTTGGACATGAGAATTAGATAAATCTGACACCTACACACATACCTGCACCTTACACCTATATCCAAGTTAACCATTATGCAGTGATGATATGCCATATCATTTGTCTTTGATTAGTAGAATGCACCAGCATAAGTACTTAATACTTGTTCAAAAGTATATGAAAGTGATATAATACTAAATTTAGGTCAGTTTAGCATTGCAAGGTCTGAAAATGATGTGGGCTTTATTTAGACCTAGTTACATAGGCCACCAAGATTGGGTGGACCTTAGGTTCTTTTATGTTTAAAGGGATCACAGGACTGGATTGCTGTTGAGAGTTTGATTTTGTGAATGGGAGTCTAAGCAAATCTGTGGTGGTGCGCTGACATGGAAGCCAGTATTATTGACTGAAATTCATGCTATCCTTTTATTATTTTAGGTCTTTTTTTCCCCTTTTGATTCCTCTTTTTCAACACACACACACACACACACACATATATATATATATTTGTGAACTTCAATACATAACAGTAGATAAATAAACTGTGCAAGACTGGTATTCCCACATGAGATAAATAAAACAAAACAATATAAATGGTAACTGTTACCATTGGTATTGCTAGCACAACTAATTGTTTGCTAATTGGCCTTTTTTGCAGGGTATAATGTCTTCTCAGATGTCATCTTTGCTGTTTCTTGTGGTAGGGGTATCAATGGCCCTCACCCCATGGTTAGCTGCTGGAGGCCAGTTACTAGCCTCTCGTTTTGAGCTGCATGATGTGCGGAGTTTGTTACCTGTAGAGAGTGAGGTAGAATTCATAATTTCAAGTTCGATGATATCTGAGTGAGCATTTATATTGGTGGTTTACGGAATTCAATTCCTTTATTTATTTATTTCCACTAGATAATAATTTGTAGTTTATGGGTACTATGTTAGTTATGGATATGATTTATCAATCAGGATCGGCTTACTGGGTAGCTTAGCTTTTCAAACTCAGCTTCGTTAGGAAAATGGAGCATAGATTTTGTAGTGATCATTCTAACTATATCATGGGAGGGGCAAATGAAAATAAAAATTGTATTATAAGCATTTTTATTAGTTATTGCACCAGAATGTGGGGAAATATTTATGATGTGCTCTCAAAAGTCTCTCTGACAACATCATGAAGCCTTTTTAATTTTGAACTCTGTGTGTATGAATTTTGTTTTGATCTTTGGGTTCAATAAACTCACTGTGCTTATGCATTTGAGAAATCTTTGGTAAACACTTACTCGCTTGCATTTGGTATTTTGTGTTTATATTCCTTCTCGAAGTCTTGCCATTTTGAGTACATGCAAAAATATTTGATGATGATGGATGAAGGTGGTGAAGAACCACTGGCTGCCATAAAGTCTGTGCCCTAAAATAAGTTAGGTCTTGCAATATTTGTATAAGATATGATCCATTATTAAATCTATTCCAAACTCCTGAATATAGTATGTCCAACTGTACCTAGGATCTACTAAATTTTTATTATTCAATAATTTTAAATCGTTTTTAAGACCTGGTGCAGCCATACATCTGACCATGGGATGAATTCTCTGTTTTTGATTTAAGGTTGATGTTGCTATTACACTGAAATATTCACTGAATGTATTGATTGTTGATTTCCTTTGGCTTGTTTCCAGACAGATGATTTGCAGGACCATATCATTATCTGTGGATTTGGACGTGTTGGCCAGGTATTGTCACTGTTTGCATTTTTTCTTTTTGATGAATTTATTTTAAATCATTTGTTGTGGTGGATCTATTTTTAATGTAGTTTATTTATAGATTCTTACCCAAAAAAATAATGTAGTTTATGTATGGATGTATGTATCATGTTTTGTATAAGAGTAGTATTTCATTCTGTTGTTCTTTCAGATCATTGCACAGCTTCTTTCAGAACGGCTTATTCCATTTGTTGCTCTTGATGTGAGGAGGTATGCTTCCATCACAATGAATTGATATTCCTGGAATAAAGTCAATTTTGGGGCTGAGAGACAGAAGGGATTGCTGATTGAATATTCTGCTGAAAATCTTAGTCATATGAGTGTGGGCTGTGTGAGTTTTTCTAGCTAGTTCCTTCCGGGTAATCTATGCCAGTTTGAAGACTATTTCATGTAGTTCTGTTCTGGGGTATGCCGCATTTGTTTTTTTATGACGTCCATTTTTTATGATAAAATCTAGTATTACTTGCTAAAGACAACATGGGGATTTCAAGTCTATGAAATGAATATCCAGGATTATCCAGCCTTTGGTTCCATATTTTCCTATATTTACTTATATTCCCTGAATCTCTCTGAACATTTTAACATAAATGCAAATTGGAAAAAAAGAAAAGGCACTGTGTCCATGACTTACTGAGAATGTGTTAAATGGTTATGAGAATATTTTACAACTGAATCCAGATAACTGATTTTAGATTTTCCATCATTTCAGTGACCGAGTAGCAGTTGGCCGTGCACTTGATCTTCCCGTGTATTTTGGTGATGCTGGTAGTCGAGAGGTATAGATGATCCTGCTCAAACTTAAATATGCTTTGTGCAGGTTCATTGTCTGACATGTTGCTTGTATTCCTGGGCACCAGGTGCTCCATAAAGTTGGTGCTGAAAGAGCATGTGCAGCAGCAATAACTTTAGATACCCCTGGTGCAAACTATAGAACAGTGTGGGCTTTGAGCAAGTATTTCCCTAATGTCAAGACATTTGTCCGTGCTCATGACGTTGATCATGGACTCAATTTGGAAAAGGCGGGAGCAACAGCGGTACATTTCTGTTGCTGTTTTCATTAGTTATTTCACTCTTCCTAATTGCCTATATAGGTTAATCTTACAATTTTATTTTATGTTTTAGGAGCTCATTATTCTTGTTTGACTTATGTATAAATCATTAATCAGTACTAATATATCTTGCATTATCTATACAAAGATCAATTTTTTGTTCAAATTACATCATATCTTGAGTTTTAGTTGAAACTCTTACAGGTTGTCCCCGAGACCTTGGAACCTAGTCTCCAACTAGCTGCTGCTGTTCTTGCACAGGTAAAAAACAGTATCGATGACACTGAATTGTATAAGATTTTTCACTGCATGAGCTATGTATGTTGTTTGTATTTAGTACATACTGCGTAAGTTATTTGATGAATACTATTTTCTTTTCGGTAATTGGTTGCATGCGTGTAGTGTGGAGTCCCGATTGTAACAAATCATAAGGAAGCTGAATATTATTTCCATTGAATTTGTCACCACCATGCTATGCTAGTATGCAATGTAATTGATCAATTTTTGGATTGATATTCCATAAAATCACTGTAAGATTAATCTCTTTTCGCTACAATCTTAATGATTACAGTGCATCTTATTGGATATTTTAATTTGAATTAGTGACTTGCTACATGCTTACTATTAATTCTCAATTCAACTATTTGTGTACACCGTCTTCATTGTTGAGCACCTGATTTATGTCCATGCTGGTTCTCTGATTGTAAAGCAGAAGCGGCTGTTGCTTCTCTGAAATATTTTGTAATTTATATGATATAATTTCACTTTCACGTGACATACACACACACAAACGCATTTGACTCGGTTAACACATTGAAAACTGAAGGCATTTGGATCTGATCTTGTGGATCCGCCAGCTGCAAAGCAGCAACTCAAACTCTTGTTACTGCTGTTGGTTGATGCTTGCTTGTGAAATTGTTAGCATGTGCTATGGAAAGTCAAAAACATTATAGAAGTTTGGTTATTTTAGTTTGGCATCTTTCGAATGTTCTTACTTTATCTTGTTTTCCCCTGTAAGGCTAAACTGCCCATGTCAGAAATAGCAGCTACTATCAATGAGTTTAGGTCCCGCCATCTTTCTGAGCTTACTGAGGTACTCATTAATGTTTGATTTTCACAATTTGGTTAGTCTTGTTAGTATAGGCCCAAATATATATATATATATATTTATGTTTTTCATCTGGATTTTGACTGAGTTACCACAATCAAATATTGCATGCAGCTCTCTGAAGCAAGTGGAAGCTCTCTTGGTTACGGATACTCTCAGATCATGAGTAAACCCAAATCTCAACCCTCTGATTCTTCAGATGATAATGAAATCACCGAAGGAGCACTAGTCATATAACCCATCACCCAAAGCAAAGAATTGACATAATAATATTAAAAAACAGATCACAAAGAACTGTACAGCGGTTTACTTGAACCCTTTGGTATAAATTGTACAGAAATATAGCCGAATTAGTGGCAGTAGCAGACACATTTGTTGATCGGCCACATGGACATTTTTGTTCCGATAATGCCCTGTGTGAGAGGGGAGACTGCTCTTTTTCTTTCTTCAATTGTATTCCGATTTGATAAATTTTGGTAGGCCCTCGTTAAACTGTCTAAAAGGACTTTCTTGTCTCACTAATCACATTGCATTCCATAATCTTAGAGTACTTTCTTAGCTTTTAGTTTTGATCATGCTGGATAATGCAAATGGTCAAAAGGGTATGATGCTACATATAGAGAAACTGTTTTTGTGAGAAAATGTGTAGATTCATGGATTGGCTGATTGCTTTGGATGTTCATTAGCAGGAACTTGTTGCATGTTTGGATTCCGTTTTGTTTGTCTACTGTATCAATAATTTCTTGTTTGGATAATTTCAATTTCAGTTATGTTGCGGTGAAATTTTAGATTATTTGTGTCGCTACTGTATTTGTTATAAGACATGAAAGGTGAGATTTATTAAATCAGTACATTGATGACACATCAATTAGTTGAAGATGCCTACGGATAATGTGGAGATTCGAGTTTCCTCCCAATTTAGCTATAACAAAATTTGATATTCTTACTTGAAATTATTTTTTAATACAAATAAATGAGTAGTAGGCCAAAATATATTTTCCGAAACAATATGATTAACTAAAAAAAATTATATACAAGTATTTTTCTCAATAAAATTCAATAAGATATATATATATATATATATATATATATATATATAATCAATCCTCTTTAATGAAATCACTTCTTTCAAATAAATCTTATTTTTAAGAGGATTAAATAAATCTCAAAGGCTCAATTTTAAAAATTATGAAATCTTATTTTTAAGAGGATTAAATAAATCTCAAAGGCTCAATTTTAAAAATTATGAGAAAGATGAAAGGGTATGGCATACATATTTTTGTCTTTGAAATCCAGTCCGGCCCAAACTTGTTGGGCTTTTACCAAACCTGACGCAAATTTTTTAAAAAAAAAAAAAAAATTAAAAAGGATTAATTAAAAAAAAAAAAAAAAAAAAAAAAATTCAAGATTTTATGTATTTTTTATTTTAAATTTCAGTATTTCAATTTAGACAAAGTAAACTTTAAGATTTCATTCGTGTTTCAATGTGCCTCTTCTATCCATCCCCGTCTGTGTAAGGTAACAGAGAATCGTTTTGGGGTTTAAAGTGATAAAAACGTGAAATTTTGAAGTTTTTTTTGTAATTAATCCTAACAATTTTTTTTTTCGTTTTTTTTGTGCATATGTACAACTTACATATCTTATTGTATATGTACAAGTGTACTTGTATATATGGTAAAAAAAATTTATTCAAATTTTGATTCTTCTGATGATACTCTCTCCGTCCTATTTTATTGATCTATTATTACATTTTTTGTTGTCCCAAAATGTATGTTCACTTTGAAAAGTCAACATTTTAAATTTAAAAATTTTCAAAATTATCCCTTATAAAGTAATTATAAATATATTTAAAAATGGAAATAGAATGGTATTTTTGGAATTAATTTTTTAAAAATTGAATTTTCAAAAAGGGACTATCAATATTGGATGGAGGGAATAAAATTTTGATTTCATCCCTAATTTTGATGACTAAAAACAACATTTATCCATTAAAGTACTAATAAGTATTTCTTACATTTCAAATAGCCTTAATTCTTAATCTATTAAATCACTGATAAGTGTCTCTTTCATTTAAAATAACCCATCTTACATAGTCATCAAAATCATGGACGAAATCAAAATTTTATCATTAAAAGAGTCAAAATTTAAATAAAAAAATTTCACCATATATATAAGCACACATGTACATATACAATAAGATATGTAAGTTACATATATACACACCCAAAAAAAAAAAAAATTTAAATATTAGGGTTAATTATTAAAAAAAAATCAAAATTTCACGCATTTTTCACTTTAAACTCTAGTGTTTTTCACTTTAAATCTCAAAACGATTCTCCGTTACCTTACACAGACGAAAATAGATGGAGAAGAGGGCACATTAAAATACAGATGGAATTCCAAGGTTTAATTTATCGAAATTGAAATACTGAGATTTAAAATGGAAAACGTGTGAAATCTTGGAATTTTTTTTTTTAATTAACCAAAAAAATAATACAAAAAAAGAACAAAAATGACAAACAGAGAAGAAGAAAGTAGAGAAGAAGAAAGTAGAGTGTGAACACAATAATGGTAGGTCTCACATGGGAAGTAGAATGTAGTCACAAAAGCATTTACTAAAATACAAAAAAGTAAGGAAAAAAAAAATGTAAGTCTCTTTCTTTGAAATCACAACAATAGTGTCTATTTTGAATGTTAAACCAAGATCTATTTGGCTGAGGGGTTGATAAATATTTGTGTATTATTATTTTCTTTTTCAAGTACAAGCGGGGGCAGGAGTGGTGGGTAGGGTTATATTAATTAGGAGATGGCTCCCGATATTCTGATTCATTATTTAGATTTTGATACAAGAGCACTACCAAAGTGTTTTAAAAAAGGGTTATATATGCAGGAGTAAGAGTAAGCAGCAAAAGTAGGGAAGGGAGTGGAGGTGACTAGGAAAGGAGTGTACACCAACCATTTAAAGAAATTACAATGGTGGCTGTGAAGGAGAGAGAGGGTCGGGCGCTAGAGTGGGGGGACAAGGATAGAAAGTGGTTGAAATGAAAGAAAAATAAGAAGGGAAATTTGACTACAAATCCCCCTTACCTTTCTTTCATTGTTAAAAGAACTAAAAAAAAAAAAATTATACTTTCAAAATCCTCTCATAATTATAAAGTCTTCTATAAATGACAAAATTTATTATTTAAATATTTTATCAGACTATTATACCCCTCAACTAGATCTTCCCACCTTCTCCGCCTACTTTCTCGAGGCTTTTCCCATATTAAGCCTATTTTGTATCTTAATTCCCAAACTAGGCCTAGTTTGGACGGAATTCCCAAACTAGGCTAAAGCGCTATTACAAATCGCGCTTTCACTGTTTGGAGCCCAAAATGTGATGAATAGTGAAAGCGCTATTGCAAACCACGCTTTTAATTAAGAAAGCGTGGTTGCAAATCACGCTTTTAACATAATTTTTTTTTTTCCTGAAACCACGCTTTCATTGTGTATCTCTTTTAACTCGTTTTCTAAAGAAAACCACGCTTTCACTGTGCATATAAATTTTTTTTTTTCCTAAAGAAAACGTGATTGTGATTCACGCTTTCACTGTTCATATAATTTTGTTAAGAAAATGTGATTCACAATCACGTTTTCACTGTTCATTAATGAAAGCGTGGATTGGAACCACGCTTTTACAACTTATATAAAACACAGAAAAGCCCTCATTTGCAACCACGTTTTTATACTTATTTCGATCTCCTCCCTCTCAGACGACTCCTCTACTTGCTTGAGCTCTCCCTCTGCTCTCTGATTCACACTCTCGCTCTCCCTCTCCCTCTGCTCTCACTCTCTGTCTCTGCTCTCTCTCTGTCCGTGATATGGCATCTATCTCTCTATGTCTCATTTCAATCTTATGTGTTTATTGTGTTTGTGAATGTGTGGTTTTGAATTTGAAATTAGAAATTTGGGTTATGAAATTATAAATGTGTTAGGGTTTTGAATTATGAAATGTGTGGTTAAATTTGTTAGGGTTTGGAATTATGAAATGTGTTAGGGTTTTAAATGTGTGGTTATGAAATTATGAAATCATAAAATGTTAGGGTTTTGAATTGTGAAATCAGAAATTATGAGTAGGTTGGTTTATTGTTAATGTTTGGAACAAATGAAATTATAAATGTGTTAGGGTTTTGAATTGTTAATCAGAATTGTTAATGTTTGGAATTAGGGTTTTGAATTGTAAAATGTTATGATTTATGATTATGCTCTATGGTTTTCAGGAATTTTTTTTTAATTAAGAATAAAATTATGCGACTTGAAATTCATATAATTCAAAATTGTTAATGTTTGGAATTAGGGTTTTCGATTTGTTGAAATTAGGGTTTTCAATTTGTTGAAATTATTGTATATTTTTTGAAATTAGGGTTTAGAATTTTGTATTGTGAATAAACCAACATATATTTGTTGAATTGAAAATTTTATAAAATTGCTTGTTAATAAAAGGAATTTTTTTTAATTAAGAATAAAATTATGCGAATTGAAATTCATATAATTCAGAATTGTTAATGTCATATTATGAAATTCATATAATTGAGAATTGAGAATTGAAATTCATATTATGAAATTCATGAATTGAGAATTAAGGTGGACTGGCAATTTCAATTCGAGGTCCACATGCTTACATATATATGATCATTTTGTTCCAGAAAATAAGACTGTAAACTGTATGATTGAATTCAAAATCTGAAAATTGAAATGAATCTGAAAAATTCAAAATTTGAGAGTTTTGATAATAAAAAAAAAAAGATCATGTTCTCATAAAGTCAATTTTAAAAAAAGAAATCATGTTCTCTTAAAATCAATTTTAAAGTCAATTTTATTCAGTATTTTACCTTTATTCAGTGTTTAGAAATTGGATTAAAATCAAGACTAAAATAGTCAATTTATTATTCTCAAACTATTTAAGGGATTAGTGTGAGTGATCTACTCCCCTTTTGAATGAATTATTTTGCATTTGATTTTGGTCTAATCTCTTAATAGATATTATCCGTTGCACTTAATTCATGCATTGTGTAAAATTAAAGGATAAAAGTTGATGCAATTAGAGCTTCAAGAATCAAATTGATTTGAGACAAGAAGCAAACTGCACGACTAGGGATTCAATTTGCCTTTTATTACAAATGAAAATCATCTACATTTTTTTTTTTTTAAGGAAAGATACGCATCAAACCCAAAAAAATTATACAAATTTTGTCAGTATACATCGCTGCTCTATTAATTTTTTGTTTTTAAATTTAATCTTCAATATCAAATTTTCTTTTTGTTTTTCTTAAATTTTAAGGAAGAAGTCCTAATAATTGGGTTAATTACTTAAAAGTCCTATTGGGAATGTACAAATGAAAATCATCTACATTTTTTTTTTTTAAGGAAAGATACGCATCAAACCCAAAAAAATTATACAAATTTTGTCAGTATACATGGCTGCTCTATTAATTTTTTGTTTTTAAATTTAATCTTCAATATCAAATTTTCTTTTTGTTTTTCTTAAATTTTAAGGAAGAAGTCCTAATAATTGGGTTAATTACTTAAAAGTCCTATTGGGAATGTTCATGTTCCATTAAGTTCTCTTTTTTTTTTGTTAACCCATAAAATCTTATTTTAAA